TTCTCTGAAATTTGTTCCATCATACCTCAGGTTGGGTTAGGATCTATGGTCACCGCTCGTCACCCTTTGCCGTGCCCAGTGGAGTGCAACAAGGCCGCTCTATATCACCATTTCTTTTNGCCATTGATTTTCTACAGGTTGCGTTGTTTGGTGGATTCTTACTCATCTTAGGCAACAGAACTATTGATCTTTATTTGGTCAATGACGTCACCTGGTTGGGTAACAATATGTAGATTGTCCATATGGCTCTGAATCGCGATCGATGTATTCAGATATGGTATGCACACCATCCACATGCAAAATGCTCGTACAAGACTGGCAGATGCCTTCGCCTGCATTCACCAGTTGGATTTATCAACTGTAAGTAGTTAAGAGCTTTAAGTACACCGGGAGTTTGATCGCAACTGGAGGTGGCGCTGGGGAAATCACACCAAGAATAGCAATAACTAGAGCAGTTTTTTCCTATCTACGTCGCCTGCAGCGCCACCACATCATCCGAATCTCCCATAAGCAAAGAGTGCATATCGCTATCTCTGTTTTACGGTCGTGACCTGACCTGTTAACGTCAAGGATGCCAATCAACTTTCTATATTTAACCACTGATGTTGTTGCAGTATTGCTCGTGTGTGATGGGAACAGCTGGTGAGCAAAGACGATTGTTGTTGTCGTGTTAGGTAATGACTGTTATTCCCCGGAATAAGTACCCATGTAACGGCCCCGAAGGGTCGGTGTTCTTTTACCTGCGTTTGTCCAATGTTTACCTCTCTGCCCGTGTTGGACAGTGATGGAAGAAGCGACACAACGGTTAGGCTATGACCCAGTTTCGAGGTGTGAGGAACTCAGAATCAGCGTTGGCTTCGGTTGGTGCAACTTGCTCTTCACGTTGAAGCCCAATGGATGAAGGTAGTCTGTGATAAAAAACGCCAAGGTATTGCGCAAATATTGTTTGGTTTATTTGTTGAGATCCCATCCCCCGTAGACTAAAAAAAACTCAAAATGTAAGTGGTGAAACAAAGCAGGAACATTATTGTTAATTTATTTCTCTTTTCCTAATCTTTACCAAAATCCCCTTGCCAATGACAATTTTCGGTATTTGCTTTATGGGATAATACACAGTGCCAATGGAATATGAGTCAAAATTCAGTGTCTTTTTAATACAGGTCCAGACTCTAACAACTCCTAATTGTGAAACAAGGCTCGTTAAAACCTGTGAATTGCGTCCTGATCATTACCGGAGGGAACAATGGCGAAAAAAAAATAAATCAGTGTCTAATGACTAATTGAATAATTTTTCAACCATCGAGCTACATTCATTAATCGAGGATAAATGAACCACACTAAGTACGGTGCAAAGGCCTAGTTCCAAATAAATAAGCCAATTTGAGTGTACATTTCAAAGTATTCCCTAACTTGTCAAACACGTTCATTTTACAATAAAACACTTTCTACGTACTTTTCCTATTACTATGAACCATACTATCTTTGTAAATGTACATTTATTATGCGTCATACCGCCTCGGCATGTGATATTTACTGGGGCAAGCAGTCAGTGGAAGAAAACTTTAAATTGTCAAGAATAAGGCCCAATACGAAACTTTGTCTAACACAATTGGTTACATAGGTTACACTGAGCTTCCTAGTTGGGGGCCTGAGGATAATTTTCATTATTGGTTCTATAAGTGTGTATCGTAAATAATGACGCTCATGCATCACTTTGTACGCAAATCTGTATGTATATATTTGTTCTGATGGTGCTCGTAGCTTCAGACTCCTTCCAAATGACCAGATTAGATGGATAACCAAGAGACAGTAACAACAACCGTGACACTGAGAGGATAACAACTGCGATAACTAAAACCACCGGGATTTTTCTAACCCATGCCACGCGCAGTTCTCATGCGTCGTGCCGTTCTGACCATCCCCGAACTGTTGCTTATACCAAGATAGTCCATGAACCAGATCACACATGCTGTGCCTGAGCCGTTCCCAGAGCCACGGACAACTTGAACACTATACTACATACTTTCTTTGAGGGAAAACACAGTAGCGAACAAACTCGGCGGTGATTCATCTACAGGTTAATACATCACAATTTATGACAAAATGTTTAGTAGGGGGAGAAATCATTACGAAATAGGAAGAAAAATAATCGATATTCCAATTATATGACTGGATGTTGCTCATATACGCATTGGTTCGGGTCATTAAGTGCGGGTGGGGGGATGTCTGTGGCGTGTTTGCCATGGAAGATCGAGTGTTCTTACTTTAGAGTCATGTGGGCGTTTTCCGTTGTGACTAGAGTGTGACTCTTACTCCCCTTAGATCGACGGAGGCGAACTGAGATGGGTCGGAACGCCCCGACCTCATGAACCACATGGTTTGACTCCACTAGGTGTGAGACGATCAAACTGTTGATAGGCCTAATCACCCCACTATTCAGCCAGGCCGGGTGGTGCTCGCAGACTCTTTCGTCTGCTCGTGCGGCCAACATGCCTTGTGCCAGAGGAACAGGCAAACGTGTACAAACAGAACGCGACTGCAGGAACAGGCGTTTTATCTTTGAGGTGAAGGTACAAATTTGGCCTGAAGGTGAACACGATGTAAGTTTTGCAGCGAGGAATGCCTTCTCCACAACGGTACTGCTTACGTGTCACCATTTTGGCAGTTGTTTTTTCCTTAAAAGGTAGTAGCGATGGGTAACCCGCTTTCTTCTCAACTGTAGTGATCTTATTTGGCAACCGGTAACACCTCAAATGTTGTCCATGAATCGTTCTGGGTATCCGTTATGAAGGAAAGCCTCTCGGATAAACCTCAGTTCGCCCTCGATGATATCATCTGTACATATTCTCCGCGCTCTCGTAGCGAGGCACCGGATCAGTTTTCTTTTTCTTCTAACGGCACATAGCTTTTGAAATAGATATACCGATTATTCCACTATGGCTTCCTGTGGATGGTGCGCTGGATAGTTGTGTCTGATCGATAACTTGGTAGAACTTCCAAAGATGCAATCTGCTCGTTCCCTGGTTTGGGGCGTCCTGAGTTACATGCTCATAGGAGTCTGGACAGGTTTACACTGTCATCAGAAAAGCTTAAAATATCATCCATATATCGCTTACATAATGTGCAACGATCGATTGTTACTTTTTCAGCTTAGCTATGAAGACATCTGCGAAAAGTGGACCCAAGGCAGATCCCAGCTATTTGACGAAAAAAGCATAGCAACTATTTCACATAACCAACTGGTATCCCGATTACACAATTAGTGGTTTGTTTACGGTTACGTTTATTAAGTAGTCTCAGCAACATGAATGTTTGCGAAAAGGGAACTAATGTTGAGTGATCCGTTACGTCTGAGCCTTTATTTCTAGCCATCAAATGATAGGAATATTGGAACCTGTGATTGGCGAGTTTTGCTCTTACGGGTTCCAGGATAACTATCAGCCAACTGGTCATATGGTAAGGAGAGTTACGCATGTCTAGGATCGGTCAGAGAGGTACTCCATCTTTATTTACCTTTAGACTATAGAGTCTGGGGATCATCGCTCCGGTTGTCCAAATGTGGCAGTTTCTACTACATACCTCCCTCGTTGAACGTCAACCAGGTTTAACCCACCTGTCGAGTGTCCTGCCGGGATATGGCCGCTGTTGAAAACCCCAGCCACAAATGAGAGTTGCAGACCAAGGAGGCGGATATCCCAAGGGAACACGAAAATTTATCCGCTCAAAGGTGCTACTTTAATCAGATACCACATGCATCCCTCGTACACTTCGCGAACGTTGTGTACCTGAAACCGAACTGCTTTACAGTCTAATGTATCATACTATTGTGTTCCTTCAATAAACATAGATTGTTTTTGAGGTTTAAATGTAGGCATGACTCAACATCTGGACGANACAGTACGGCATGCCTACTAATAAAACAGATTTGGATGGAAGGAACTATCACAAACCCTAACATCGTATATCAAAGTGAAAATACCTAGTGAGGGTAAACCTTCTGATTGGTATGTATGCCATAAGTACTTTTGATCGAAGGTTGCGCGTGATTTACAAACGGCGAAACATAATCTGCCGTCCTACTTTCATTATGAAATCATGGAAACTTAGATTGCCGAACAATTACCATTACATCGCGAAAGTGACTGTTGCGATGCGATTAGACATGGCTACCTGCATCCAAAATAAAGTATTTCTTGGTGTTCCCTAAGGTTCGATGTTCTGCTCTACGCTTTTTCTATGGTTAACTAACAACTTCCTTCCTATATATTATTTTATTCATACCTCCATCGGTGATCAAGTTCTTCACTTTTCATTGTTTTATTCTTGTTTTTTTATACAAAAGAAAATAATTTGCACTAATGCAAATCAGTGAACTCTAATCCCAACCGGATAACGGCCTGGAGGTTACCAATCTGCGTAACACTCAACGCATTCGAAAAACAATCATTACTGCTCTTAGTTTGGCTTCATCAGTATCTTCTCTCCAGCTCCCGCTCTCTTTATTATTAAATATTTTATTTTCTTCTCTAAGACAATCACATGCGTGTTCAAAACATCTCTTCACATTTTCAGAAATTCCAAACACGTTCCACTCTTGATCAATGTGGTTGTCTGAAGTGAGATCTTTTACGTTTCCAATGTGAGATCACAAATCCAAGTCATGTAGCTCACATATACCAGAATAAAGACCGCTTTTGTCACAGATATCCTTTTACCATTCTGTTACGGTAATCTAGGTCTCTAGACTGGGTTTTTCCTCCCACATTAAATCAAACTTAACCGGTAATTAAAATTTACTCCGCAATGGGAATTTTATGGACGTTATGGTGCTAACGTTATCACTAGAACCGTGTTAATTTAGGGCATCATGGAAAAACAGATTTACCTCAAGGAAATTATTAGAACTGAGATCACAAAATAGGTACAGGACATGAGTACGATAGGTGCGAAGAAAGGATACGAACTGGAACACAAAAAGCTACCTGTGCAAAAACGTACGGTTAATATGCGAAACGGGAGTAATGGGTTTGTGTTGGATTAGTTTGGGCATTGTGAGGAGGTGCATGAATCTGACTAGGATTAGGTACACGTTGAAAGGTTGCTCCCAATCCGGTCCCGTGTGTGTGTTGTGGCATCATTTGAACTGGTATTTGATCACCTACAGCGTTGTGTTGATGTGGCTGTTGTTGTGTATGGTGTGCATGAAGATGAGGCTGATGCGGTCGCATTGTGTGGTAAGCTGTTTGACGGGGAATTAGATGAGAGGGCATACCAGGCTGTCCACCTGCTCTAACAAAGGCATCATCTGTGGATGTATCAAGCATCAAAACAAAATTATCATCTGGATTGCGACCAATCACATGTTGTGTTTGCTGCTGTTGTTGATGATGAGTCAAATGTGTATGACTGGATTGGGAAACGGGATAGGGTGGAGGATTAGGTACAAGTTGTTGTGACTGGTTCCCCGTGATGGGAACACTCTGGTGTACGGTCATTTGTGCGCGATGGGTTGTAAGCTGAGGCATATAACGAGGGGCATTTTGGGTACCGCCAGTTTGTTGTCTCACAGGATTTATCACATTATCCACTGTCTGGGGAAATGAGGTGACAAAACTCACTGTATTATCACCATAGGACGTAGTGGGGCCAGCCACGCCCAGTGAATGCGGAATACCCACTGAGCCATCAAACGAAGGATTCGACTGGACATAAACAGTAGCAGTACACAGTTCTTGCTGTGATCCACGAATAGTGCCTGCTGGGTTTGAACCGGAGTCAGCAAATGTGTTGTAAGCTTGTGATTGATGCTGATGGTGGGGGTGCAGAGAAACCGAAACTAACTGCTGTTGTTGTTGCTGCTGCTGTTGTTGCTGAGTACGGTTTCGTATGAACCCGCCTAAGTTAACAAGATGAGCTGGTCCACGAGAAGACTGTGCAGACATGTGACCGTCTGCCGGATTAACTGAATCGTGCGGGAACGACTTATTCACCCATGAGTTCTGGGGCGCACTAGATGAGGCTATATCTGGAACCGTTTCACCACAAGGAAGTGTAGAATGCACATGAAGTGTGTCCATCATTCCGACAGACGACATCCTAGCATTAGCAGCCGCGTTTGCTGCACGAACAGTTGCAGCAGCCGTACGACCAGGTGCAACGTTGGGAGCTGGGCGAGCAGCTGTAGCGTTACCAGGCAATGAGCGTTCCGAAACTGAAGCAACAGGTGCCCTTCGTCCAGCGCCGCGTTTTCGTTTGGTAGCTGTCGGTTGAGCGGAAACAAAAGATGTGGACATATCCGCAGTACCAGATGCTATTTGCGGGGGATCAGGTGCGAATTTACCAGGAGCACGACCGGGTTTGCTCAGTGTCGGTTCTGTCTGGGAGAAAGCTAGTTCACTATAAACATCGTCTAAAACTGCCGTTCGGGGACCATGTTTAGACGTATCCATTGATTTCATTGATCCCTCCGAAACGGATTGGATATGACCGTCAATGGATCCACTGCCAATACAAGGCTGTACGTATTGTGATTTGATCATATTAACATGTAAAGCTGAACCAAACGACGAGGGGTTGGATTGCGCTCTTAAGTGTTCAGATGACAAATCTTGCGAGTATTCGGACTGCAAAGAATGCATGCTACCTGCTCTTGATAAAGTCTCCTGTTGAATCGAGCTGCCTATTCGAATGGACTCACTGTAAGCGGTCGGTTCTTCGGGGACGCCACCATCATGGCCAAATGAACGAGGTGGCAGCTTATTCATTCCGTGACCGACGGAACCGTGTTTCCGACTTGCTTGGAGAGCAGACGGCGAAGGCTCGCAATGAGGAACATTCGAACTTTGGGGTCTGAGAGAAGGTGGAAGCATGGACGATGCATTGGATGATTCCCGCTTCAATGCCTTGCTTGTTGATGGAGGCCCATTATGAACAGAGCCTTTAGATTCGTTCTTTTCAGGATAGACCGGAGTTAAATAGAATTCCAAAGGGCGTCGTAAACGAATAAAGTGGTCGTGTCTGATCAGTCTATTAGCTTGATCTTCAGTCCGAGAAAGCACAGCCTCGGTAAGGGTGGCTCCGTGCATACACAGCAACGCGGATTGTTTACTGGGGTCTTGAATATCCCACGGAGCAAACCGTTCTTTGCCAATGATCATGAATCCGCGCTTTTTAGGGCCACGACCAGGACCGCTACCGACGGAACCGAACAAGCCCGAACGATTTCCTCCACTTGACTTACCGGACCCTTTGTTACCACTAGACTTACCAGCGCCGCCAGCTTTTCCCAGAGAACCGGTCCCAGAACCACCAGAAGACGAGTTACCGGCTGTCCCCGAAGCTCCTGCCCGTTGACGCGATCGACCCGTAACAAAGACAGTATAAGCTGCTTTCAGTGGGATTAATAAGGGTCTGATTTGTTCTATACCTGAGGTGGTCGGTCGTTCGGAGAGTTCTCGACGGAGTCTTTTCACCAAGTTTTGATACGGTTTTCCTTCTAAACCATTACGTGCAGCAAACGTATGAACCAAAGTCTGCAGCATGTCTAGTACCATAAAAAACAGAGCGCTATTAGATTCGGGTTCCGTAACTCCGTGACTGATCAACTGAGTTAGTAATTGTGCAAGGCGCGTGCATGTTTCCGAATCGGTAAGCAACTCTTGGAATCTTTGACCGATCAGCGTAAGTCTAAGTCGTAAACATTCCTGAACGACCTGTCTGGTACGTAAATTGTCCGGGACATGATCTTCTGTATCACGAGCGTTTGGAACAAAGTATTCAATTTGTTCATTTAGTGCTTCCTTATGATCTGCTTCTTCTAGACATATTTGTAACAGAGAGAAGAACGCCGGGTGTGCCAATATGATTGAATGTTGGAGCAGAACACTTTCTTTGTCCTCATCATTTTTGTGCTTCCAGTAGTTCCGAATGCCTTTCAGATTCTGGAGAAAGAGAGCCGCAGAGAGAAAGATAAATTACTACGAAAAACCGAACGAACGAAACGCTTAAAATGCATCGGCAATTGTTAAGTGTGGTTCACAGTTTTGGGAACTGTCAAGTTCTTAACTTGATTTCTGTTACTTCAAAAAGGTTTGTGTGCTAAAACTACAATCTTTCACTACCTTTTGATCAACCTAAAATCCAGTATAGTTTGTATATTTTAGCTTATTGTGCTTCGTTTACTGTCACTTTCCAATTTGACAAAGTGGCCAAGAACACAGCAAGCGGACGTCGTAAGTCGTCCAATCGGGACATGCGGGTTGCACATCAGTACCTACGAGACCCAGAAATGGTCATCTAAAATGCACAGGTCGAAATCTTAGTTTTACTACTGCTGAAGTCAAACTACTATAGAGGTAATCCGTGATTTATAACTCCTGAATATATCTCCAGTAATACAAGTGACATTTTGACTTGGGCCCTTTAGAACATCATTATTTCGGGATACCAACGAACTTGTATATGGTAAAGATGGATCGCAGCAAACAGTGCGGTTTCAAGCAACTTTGATAGTGAAATTATCAGAAAGCTGAAGGAGTGATATCATCGGTAAAGTGAAGTTGGATTCAGTTGATCATTGAGGAGAACAGCTTTCCCCCTGAACAAAAACCTAATAATAAAAATGTGCTGATATATGGGTGAAATAACAACGCTATCACATTTTGTATATTTGAGAAGTAAGAAATTCTTCAAAGTAGAATAAGTAAAAAAAATTGGATAATGGACAGAGGCATATAAGGAAAAGTCTTAAAGATAATAGAATAATATAAACCATTTCCATGTGCTACTCATACCCCGTTGATACAAACTGCTGTGATGGCAAGCCAGAATATTTTACAAAGAATTACATACGTCAGTCCAAAATCAAGTACGCTTATTGAGTATCAAGATGTTAGACCGGATCGCCGCTCAAAACATAATAAAGTCGAATGCAACACAAAACGATGAAGAAAACGGAGCGAAATACAACAGCGAGTAACGCTATTTCATAAAATTGAATGACTCTTCCGTACTGTGATTGGATACAGTCAGTTGATTATCTATAATCTCCTGCTGAAACGAGAACACGCGATCAGTAAGGTCCAAAAAATAAGCAGATCAAAACACATCCTTGTGCTAATGACCGAAATGCACTGTTTTGAATCCATGGACGATGAATTTCCGAAGAAAGCCATTGCAAAATATGCTTGAATAAACTGGGTTTTGTAAAGCTCGAGTTTGCAAAGCACTAACAACAAAACTAAGAAGTACCTCTAGTAAAAAAGTAACTCAATCTATTCGCGTTAGAGAGACGGTACTAGAATGTGGAAATAAGCTAGGACTAGTGTGAAAGACAGCAAAAAGATACTTGCCTCTAGGGTGATTTTGACTATCTGGCACTTCATCGGCTTCGGTAGTTTTTGAATCAGCACAGGTAAAAGCCAAACCGGATCGTCTTCATCCAAATCGAAATTCGGAAGACCACCAATAAGTCCCACGGAGCCATCTGTGGTAACACATGAACCATCCGCATTCAGCCATGTCAAGGCCTGTCGTTGAAACTCTGACACAAGGCACTGGGCCACAAATCCGAGCACTTCAGCTTGATGAGAGAACGGAATTTGTTTATAAAGTAATTCGAATTTCATGTGCGCGCAATTAAATGTCCACAAGTTCAAGTTGCTCAACGCATGACACATTGCTTCAGCCAAACCGTCGGAAGCGGAGGCAACATCTGACCAGGAAGTATCATATGGGTAGAATATGGTGTGCAGTAAACGACGTGCCTGACTGTGGGAGAAGTTTTTATCTATCAGGACGTTTTCACAAATCAATCTTTCGTAGGGCATACCACAGAACCGCTCCCGAACCCAATAAACTGTGCAGATCTCACGAAGAACCAGTTGTATCAGGCCATCCAGTGGGAGACTGCGAAGTTCGGCTACCGTCGGTAATGTCCCAGAATCCAAATAGCGCTGTACTATAAAATGTACAGGATGAACGGATGTCTGTGCCCGTCGAACACTTACTCTACGTCGCTTGCGCTGACGAGCTTTCGAACTTTCGTTTTGCTTGCCCCGTTTTCGGCGCCGAGACGGATCGGAAGAGTCTTCAGTGGAATCCTGATCATCATCCATGTCCAGATCCGAACCACGACCTTGATTTCCGTCTCCATCATCATCCGGTGGTTCTCCTGTACTATCGATATGATCATCTGAGTGTGAAGGGTCTGCATGAAATGCTTTATCATAATTCACCATCAGCATTTTTAGCACATCAACCAGAACCTCTGTTCCGACTTTTTGTAACGCACCAGTCAGAAGCAGTGGTTCAGATATACGAAATGGAGGTGATGAAACCATAGAGTCAGGATTTGCGTTACTCGCATTTGAGACGGAAACATCATGGTTTGGAGTGAGTACGTTGGAAGCAGTCTGTAGTGAGCTGACAGTTGATTCGGCAGTGAAAAGTCTATGCAGAATATGACAAGCGAGGCGGATGATTGGCTCCAGTTGAGGACCAATGGGCTGAGAAACTTGATTTAATCCATGGGCCATGGCTGCACATATTACCGATTGAAGAAAATCCGATATTGGAAAACAATGGCGAGATAACAAAGTGCCAATGAGTGAGCTCAAATTGTCATACATGTTCACATCTGTCGGTTCGATTGTGCTCACCAATGGCTCGTATCTTGGTGCTTCGGTTCGAGGCGCAAGTATCGCATACAATGAACCAATCCATTCGGAACTCAGTTCGCTACATTGTGCTGTGAGTTCCACACAAAGGCTACACAAATAATTCAATCGTTCACTGGTTTCAGCTTGACAAACAAATACGATAGCTCGGCATACAAAGCTAAATCGAGAGTTGGATTCACGCCGTAAATCTTCTGCATAGGTAGGAAAAGAGGCTCCATTGTCCTGAGACTTTTCATCCAACAGCTCAGCGGCATAATTCGGATCAAATTTGCCCTTTCCGTTTCCTGGAAGAACCCGACGGAAAATAGCAGAAACCTTTCCATGAGCTTTACCATAAAACGACGTAAAACTAGAACGGACGGCACAGCTTGAGGAAAATAGGCCGTGTACATACGCCAAAATACATCGTTCTGAAGGAAAGCATTGTGTGGATTCTTTCACCTGAAATACTTGGGCAATTAGAGTGGAGAACAGTCGAGGAGCTATACTCATAGTAAGTAGTACCGGTTGGTAGCGCTGTAGTATGCCGATGGCACGCAGACACATGTAAGACATGTACAGTGTCATGAACTGAGTGCGATTCTCGAAAAGAGATTTCAGGCGCTCCAGTGTGTCGACCACAGTCGAAATGAGGCAAGTTATGTTCAGTGAAGTCTCAATCAGATCAAAAAATAAGAAGATCGAACTTGGTACTGGCATATAAATATGTGTTTGTGATGCGGTAGGCGGCGCCAAAGATGTGTAAGAACCAGAAGAACCGGGTAGGGCTATCATTGTGTTGCCCATTGTACTACTGTTAACTTGTGGAGATGGTGGATTATTTAAGCCAAATGAAGCGCTGTGTTCATCTGAAGTCAGGTTGCTTGTACTGCCACCACTTGAACCATTCAGCATTTTCATAAACGTGGGGGTGCACTGCGAGATCACACACTCCATGTCGTGGTACGATAAGCGAACGAATCGGGACATGATATCCTCGTGAAGGCGATCGATTGAGTGCGTGTCTTCCGAGGATCGATGCCCGGTGGAAGAAAGGCTTCCAGTAGTAGCAGTACCCCCACCTGAAGCAGAATTTCCTGAACCTCCAGCACCACCACCACTGGCTGAAACTGACTGCTCTCGATCTTTCTCACGATCTTTAGTCTTTTTACGTTTGCCCATTTCCCCTTGTACCACATCGACCAAATAGGACCCTTTGGTGAACAGCTTCTTTATGTCACGAACTAAATGCCTCACACGGGATCGTGCTCTATCTCTCGCACGTACGGATCCGTACAGCAGTTGGTAGCGCTGATTTTGCTCGTGGGCATAACATTCTCCCTGTGGTATCGGAAATTGTGTCAGGAAGTGTAGGTGAGGTGATCGAGTGACAGTCGAGCCGAACTGCACCGGTTTTTCGGGGTTGTTCGCATGTGAACCGTGAGTGGGTGGGGCGCAAGGCTGAAAGCCTAGCTCAGAACGAACAGAATCCGGATTGTCCATACTGCAACGGTCATTTTCTTCCGACATTTCGGAAGCCACCGAGTGTTGAGCTGTGGCATTATTGGACAGATTCAAATTGGTCAGACAGCTTGGAACATGCGTCGCGCGTGAATGTGCATTAGGGGTGTTCGCACCGAGACTAGCCGTGGACGATCCCAGCTGATGATGTATTGATCCGGTCTCAAAAGCCAATGGATGATCACTGGTATTAAAAGCACCTCTAGCAATAAAATGTCGTACATAAGCGTCATGGTCGAACAATTGGCGATCGATCAATTCGCCGAATAAGCAAACTAAACTTTTCATAGGTTCATTATCTATAGGAGCTTGATCACCAACAAATGGGGGTAGTGTAGTAGAAAAGTTATCCAGAAACGCCACCAAAGTGTCTTGAAACAACTGTCTTGAAGTTGTATTAGATTGGAAAGTACACCAAAGTTGTTCTAACAAACACGCTACGATAATGGCGCGATGAATTCCAAATCGATGCGTAGACACAGCCCAGTCACACAAGGTTGTCACAAGTGCCCCCGTATCGACGTGAAGTGTTTCATCTTTGAAAATCAAATTGAACAAAGCTTCCATTGGATTCAGTTCTTTTGCCACGTAGTAGTTTTGACTATCCAAGATGTTCAGTAATTTTAACGACCGTTCAACCTGCAAAAATAAAAATAATATTTAATTAATCAACACAACTGACGGTGGTTCAATTCAAAAATAACGGTAGTCCTATGAGAAGCACCCTGAATGAAATTTGTACTAAATAATGAGTAGCAAATATAAAGGGGCTGTGAAAAAATGTGACATGAATGAGAAATGATGAAACAAGAATAAAAACCCATGCGATGGAAATCAGTAACAACGAAAAAAGCTGGAGGTGTTAGGTCGTTAGCAATTTTATTGCAGATGGAATGCAGTGGTCAATTCGGGAAGTACAGTGAAAACAATAGAACATCTGGCAGTTAGAAATATAATCTTACTATTGAGGAGGAATACTTCTAATTCTTACTCCGCATTTGGGTACCGTTGCTAAACATCCTATCAAGTGTACCTTTGATGCTAAAAGTGTATAGACAATCACATGTGGTTCAAAGGAATTGCTTAGTGCAGGGAACATCGGTCTCAACGAAACTTATTCATTAGGCTTTTGAGAGCATAGGCTGAACCCACGCATGCAATGGTTCATGCCAGCATTCGTACCTGAACATGAATACCGATTCACTATTCACTTTGATGTGAGTCACTACCTTACCCGATCGATCGAGGTCCATTGCCTTCGATTCCTTCACCACTCGATCAACGGTCAAAGGTATATGTTTCCCAGAGAAACAAAAAATCAGATCCCATTCCAACGAAACGCTTAACTTCGCACAGTGGCTCACTAACAAAGCACTTAAGTTTGTTTATGGATAAATCGGTTCATTCTGACTGAAGGGGGGGGGGATGAAACTGGTCCAGTATGTAATGTATGACGCCAAAGTACCAATCACCTTGTGGGGTTCCCCGTAGAATGCGACTGGTGGATTCACTGGGAGTTATAACAGATTCACTAGAAGTTGAAATGATGAAATGTGCCGGTAACAATGACTGAGATCACTTCGCTGTTTGCTTTTCCCCGGCTTCCAAGCGTAGTTCTTAAGTAAATCTTCGTTCACAGTTGACGATGGCTTCAATCTCATCGATACATAATTTACTTCATGAATATAAGATTATAACGGTGTTAGCGGATAAAATTTAGAGAGAGAACATCACGACATAGTGTGTTACGTAATATTAATTGAGCACCCTCAACATCATTCTGTTACAATAATCACGATAATATACTGTATAAAAAATACCACAATAAAAGCGAATTTGTTGGGCATCACAAGGTGGATCTATCGAATCGGCACACTTACCTGTTCTCCATTCACGTTCGTAGCAGCCTGACGATTCCAACCAAGCTCAGCTAACCGACCACGGGTGATGATGATTTCTTCCAATTCCGTGAGACACTTTCTGATTGGAATCACCTCGGGACCACGAGGCATTGGTAGAGCAACCAATGAATAAGGTATCAAGTCTAATGGTGATCCTCGGAGATAGAAATGATCCCCCACCGGTGGTATATCATTCCAAACGGCTGCAGATGGACAGCTCATAGTTAGACACACGATCAGACTGCTCAAGGACATCACAATAACTCGATGCAAAGGACACGTACAAGTCTCGATGTATTCATCCAGAACAAGCTGGGCGCTCGATCGAGGTTCGTTTCCAGGTGAGCGTGAATCACAATAAGTGACTTCTGACAGAACGGAACAGCACCAATAGAGTAATCGTCGGGTAATTAGTTCACTCTCGGTAAAACGAATTCCAACACGCAACAGATAGTGCAGAAAGAATTTGAGTTTTAATCGTTCATTCTCAATGGACTCCTGTAACTGCAATGAAGGCTGCGTCGGAGGAGTCGCATAAGGGGCAGGTGGCCGAAAGGGCTTTGAAATGCTTTCGGCTCGATCCACCAACCAAATGAGCACTTCCCAATGATCCGCCATATCCATGTCGTACATAGCTAACAACAGAGTAAATAGGTAATTCCAATCGGAATCTAGTGCATCGTTTGAGGATTCGCAACTAATTTGATCCAGTATACGAGTAAGCATACCACAAAGTGCGGTTGTCCATTCAACCGTTGGATCAGAAAGTGCGCGGGGTTTCTTTTTAGCGTTTTCTGCCAACGCTGCCGAAACAATCACACTCATGTTGATGAACCAAATAGCACGAGTGGTTGGAACCTTATTAGATAACAGCTCACTCAAAATTTCGTCCTTATCTTTGTCCTTGTAATATAGGACCCGGCGACCGAGACTTTGAAGGGGTACGCTACCGGCCAGTTCTCGGAACCAATCACTCACATGTTCCTTGTGTATATCAATCACAGGCACGACCGTATCGCGCAAATTAGGTATCTGTTTCTTCTTTGAGTCCTGAAAGCTTGTATTCTCACGCTTGTTTGCAACAACTCCACGAAAAAAGTTCAACAATGAATCAATATTGATAAATCTGCTTTCTTCGCGACATGACTGGTATTCGTCTCGTACCGGCTTGATGTATTTGTATCCATCTCGGACGAAGTCTTCTGACATAAGATCTTCTTTCTGTTCATCTCTTTGAAAGTAAACGTCAGGAGGACAGAAAGTTTTCTTTTTCAGTGATCTCTCTTCTAGCGATGGGAAGCTACTCATGCTCAGTTAAGTGCTGTAAATAAAAAATAACAACCGGTTAGCTTTGGACGGAACGGTTTTTCTTTAAAGCATTTAATCCGTACAGTGGAATTTAAGTCGGTAAGACAAATCACCAAATGAAATACAACAAAATAAAAAACCATTCTCAGTACAATTGCATTAAAAATTGAAAATTCAATTACTCAGGCTAGTTCCCATGTCAACGGAGTCTCCTTAAGCAGCCGATGCAGATGGTTATTGGAACACTTTCTGTCGTACATCCCAAGGCAGCGCTTTACAAGCGTAATCAAACTACTGAAGACGGTCTGTACCCTTGCATACTAAGTAAATAAGGAATAGAAGGATATCATGTCTCTACCGGTTTCCGGTATCTGCTTCACGGTAGGTAATAGTAGACACCGTCGGCTAATTGGTTTGCAGATCGTGAAATCTGGAGGAATAAAAACGCACCTGAGATGACAAGTGATTCTCTGTCTGGGATTGATACTTCTGTGTTCTCAGATAGCTTTTGACGGGTGCATGCTACATTCTAAACATTGTTCTATTGCCATTACGACGAGACTGCACCTTGACGTGGTGATGGTTTACGCACCTCCGTGACCCTACGAGCTACACAGGATAGCTTTTCACAACCGCAGATCCAATCATGCATGTTCCTCTTGTCTCATTGGGTGCATGAGACTTAGAGCCAATCCCGAACAGCAGACCGACATTCAACGCACCAGCGAAAAATACACTCAACCGAAACGCGAAGACCTTGCGTGACAGGTCTCCAGAAGTTTCCACACGTGCGGTTCAATTACGCTCTTGCGTTGGATCTACGCCCCAACCCCTTGTGGGTCAAACTTTTGAGTCGAAGGCTTCGGTTGGGGTTTCCAAAGAAAAACCTCGTTGGTGTGGGCTACCGCGAAGTATGTCGAGCCCTAAAGTCTTAGGCACCCATTTGGGGAAACCTCTTTTCCATTTGTCTAGTTCTTCGTCTCAATTCCGAATAATCCCAGATACCTCCTGTTTGCACCCCACATCGGATATCACTCAGGGTTTCACCAGTAAGGCCAAACAACTAGAAGTTATAAGAGTTTTGAAGCCGACATTCCCTGTTCGCTTAGGTGCATTCAAGGCCCGCACACTCCACCAGATCGATAACCTGCCTTGGTTAGAACCATTGAAAATTTCAATTTAGATGAATGCTGTCTCCGAAACACAGAACCTCACCTCAATCATCTCCCTGCGTTCTCCTGAATTAACCTCATCCTTATGCTTCACCCTTCGTGTATCAGACAATCCGGCATCCACCGTTCGCGGTGTTGCTGGTTTCGGGATTGCGCTAAGTGCCAAGGCTGAGCGCTTGTTTCTTGATTGGATTTCAGTCAGCAATCGACTGAGCGCCGTATGTCCCGGCGGTTCAGTACTGGTGAACGGCCACAGAATGAAACGTCGGTGCTTATTTGTTCCAACGATGTATGCATCGACCGATTGCAATACACCTGAAACCAAGGATAAATTCAACAAGGATCTTTCTATTACTTAATATTGTTCGATCAACGGTCGTCGTAGTAATCGCCGGAGACTTAAATGCTCGAGTAGGATACCTGGAAGATTTCTTGGAGGTCTGCATGCAATCTCAACCAACCGAAGGGGCAACGGAGATTACGTACTTCAACTCTGTGCCGACCACGGATTGTTCCTGCTAAACACCAACTCTTTAGGCCTGGCAAAAACCACAATAAAGCCACCGGAAACGGATACGCAAGATACAAAATCAGCGATAGTTGTAAATCAACCTTCGAAGCGGCGCTCTAAGATAGCTTATCAGTTCAACCACCAGTCGTGAGACTCAATGAACACTGAAAACCCCTAAATATTCTAGCGCTGCCTTTCCCTGAAAGGTGTGCCCGAGAAGTTAATTTCAATATTACGATCGCTTTATACTAATAGCCGAAGTCGAGTACGATCTTACGACACTTTATCGCCTGAGTTCATCATGGTTGATCTCTCTGTCCTTTCTATTTAACTTTGCTATGGATTTGATTACGGAAGCAGCCCTGTCCTCATACGATAATAGCGGCATCGATTTGCTTCCAGGTGGCAGACTGTATGCTCTGGAGTATGCAGAAGACATTGTGATGCTAAGTGAAGATCCAGGTAAGTTGCAAGCTTTTCTGGATAGTTTGAATGCTGGTGTAGCGATGTTTAGTTGCGTTTTGCACTTTCAAAGTTCAGTTTCAGTTTGAACAACCATTAACCATGCACTTTCGTGCGCCGGTTTTGGTT